GCTGCTTCCTCCTGCTCCTGTCCCACCTGTGGAGCATTCTGTATCACAGCAGCATCACCAGCATGCCCAAAGCCCTGTGTAAGCCTCTCCCTTCCCCTCACCTTGCAGCTCTGCCCACAACAACAGCAGCCTTGCAGAGGAGTGTGGGAACCACGGAGGGACACCACTCAACCACAGATCAGGGTGAGAGCGGTGACAGCTGATGGCAAGGAGGGGGCATTGGGGCWGAGTGTGACACCAGTGCTTGGCTGTGGCTTTTATTGCTAGGGAACAGAGTCTTGACAGTTTTTAATCCAGGAGTTTCTGAAAGTAAATCTTCCTTCTCTCAGTTTCCATTCCACAGAGCGTTTTTTGCTTGCTAAGAGGTTGTGTCTCTTTAGGAGAGACCATGCGTGTCTTAGGACTGCTGAAAAGCCCTCCTAATTTCAGAGCGTATAGGATAGTATAGTCTGGGTCTGGTTCTTTTCTAAGGGGCTTTTTTCCTTGTTATCTGACCCTGAATGGGAGCTACTGAGGGGAGGCAGATCTGCTGTGTCCAGGGGCAGACACGAGGGATGCAAAAGCTGCTTCAGACCTGACTGAAAACATGTACCTGACCAGGAACAGCATTTTTGAGTGAAGCCTTGTAATTTCCCATTCGTTTTTATGGGATGTGGGAATTTAGGCCTGGTCTAGAGTAAATCTGCTTGTGGAAAACTTCTATGCTTGGATTATGTTCCATTTGGATTCATGATGCTCCAGCAATCACATGGGGGCTGTGGATGCTGGTGCAGGTYACTGAAAAGTGAGGGAAGGTGTTGATTTTTCCTTTATTTTTTGCAGAAGAAACAGGAACAGAGCTGGTGTTTGGAGGTACCTCAGGAATCTCCTGGGATCCATGGGGCYCCACCACTACTGCAGGTGTGTGTACAGACACAGGGCTGGTGGGTGTGTGTAGTTTGTGTATACACGGAATATATGGTAGATACATGTACTACATGTACTCTCTCTATGGTCTCATTTCTGCAGCTGGCCTGTTTTCACTGCCTTGTAAAGGGGATGGAGGCATTCTCTCCTGATCCTACAGCCCTAATCCCAGATCTCCTGGTGCTCAAATGAGGGCTGGAGATGCACTGTCAGCCTTTCACTCATGTTTGTTTTGCAGATCTGCCCACAACAGCGATGACTTCCGAGAGTGGTGTGGGATATCCAGGGAAGAATGATACAATTCRTGGTAAGTAAGAGCAAAACCCAGCTGAGAAGAAGATTAGGGACCCAAACCAGATACTCTGTAGTCAGGAGCCCTTTTAGTATTCTGCCTTTTTGGCTGCAAATTGCATTAATGACTGTTCTCAAAAGACCCAGATTATTCATGGTGCCTCTTTAAAAGACCTCGGATGTTTTTACAGAAGAATTAAAAGAAAAAATGAGGCACACAGGGTTGTTRCTGTGTTCCTGAGCAGCTGGTCCATTTTTATCTCAGACTGTCAAAGCTGGAACAGCAGAAAAGTCTCAGTGTGTGCCTCAAGCAGATCTACACATCCTCCAGCTTTGCAGCATYGTGACAGGTTCAGACAATTTCCAAACAGAACTGAGCAGCACTCGTGAATGGAAAGCTTTGCTTCGTGACATGCAGTGCAGTTGTTGTGCCCAGCTCACATCCAGCTTTATGAGATGTGTGTAGAGCTGAGGGCAGAGTTTTTGCTCACACTGCACCCACCCAGAGCTGCAGGACCGAGGGTCTGTGGGGACATGGCTCTGCAGGGGCACAGCTCTGCATGCCCTGTTGCTGTCCTAAAAGACATGGTAACTGTCATGTAACTGCTGCTGCTGTCACCCAGGAGGGTCTGAAAGTCCTCTGTTATGTTGCTTCAGATTTCCAGAGGACTGGCTTGTCCCTGTACCTGGTCATCCTGATTGCTGTGCTGTGTGGTGCTGTGGTTTTCCTTGTCATCTCTCTTATCATTTGCATTAGAAAACCCAAAGATGGTGAGTAGGATCTTCTAGAAMACCTAAATGTTTTATGCATGCCCAGCATGCATGGTTTTACTTTTCATGGGTTTGGGGGTCTGGAGATGTGTTTGCACCCACCAGCTCTGGCACATGCACCGTACAGGCAGTAGATGACAGGAGTGGATTAACACAGAGGGTGGGAAATCTGAAGAGGCAGAGAAGTCCTTGCAGTCAGGAGAGTCTTCCAGGCACCTGGAAGATGGGAGCTGCACCCTCCCATCCCTGCACTGGCTCCAGGGCAGCTCAGTCCCTGCCCTGCAGTCCATCCTGAGATGTGTCTTGCTCTGCACAGAGCCTTGGGATGGTTGTTTCTTGTTGCTCCTCACAGACATCCCAGGGTTCAGACTCACCTKCTTGGCCAGGCTCATTGTTCCAAACCTTTAAAGTCTCTGGCAGTGGGTTCATCCTGTCCTGCTGCTGGGAAATGCCTTTGGCACCAGCTGCTGCTCAACAGTTCCCAAAGCTGGCACCCAGAGGGAAGAGGTCGTTGTCAATTCTCCCTGTTTCATATGAATTTGTTTCCTCTCTGGTCTATAGTCACAGGATACCCTCACTCAGTGCCTCTGTTTCTCTGGCACTGCCACCAGAACCCCCCTGACCGAATGTTCCCTGGAGCCCCCTCCTCAGCAGCTGTGCTTTGCTCTGTGCAGAGGGCACACAGGTGCACTTTGGCCTTTGAGATCCCACGGACTTCATTTCCTATTTTGGTTCTCTAGTGACCTTTCTATGACTCCATGCCACCAACTAATAGTAATAATTGTCAGATATTTCTTTTGCCATTTTTCTTATTTTTATCTTTTCTTTTTTTAAAGGAATCCAGAATAACCACTTTCAAAATGGTTCTTTATTGAACTTCTATGGGGAAACTGGGAACTTCTAGTTTCTAACCTCAACTTTGTCTTTGACATTGGGCAGTTATTTTGACCCAGTTGTGTGTTAGCTGGGTTGTTTTTGTTCCTGGGAAACTGAGTCATYACCCACTTGACATGATATCCAAGGCTCTCATTTTTATTCTGTCTTCAGAAGTCATTTTCTTCCACCAAGAAGATAAATGAAGAAATTATTGTTTAAGGATGTAAATGCAAATTATTGACACTAATTCTGATTTTTCTTTTCCAGCTCAAGTGTATGATGTAAAATTGTGAGTATAACCCTTTATCTGGCACATGGATGAGTTCTGGGGGGCTCTATGGGAGCAGAAATACAAAGCACTGCTATTAGCTGTCAGGATGAAAAGCCCCTTAAGCAGTCTGGGTGAAGAGGTTCACAAGTAGTTCAACAGCATGTTGTAGGATGGTCTGTGAGCTTTCCACAGCAACACAGAACGCAGGAAGATCTTTTTCATGACAATACCAGAATTGTAAAAATGAGCAAGAGCTGTTTATTAATTCCTCAGGCCAGGGAGGGCTACTGAATATGATTGCCAAGGCTAAATTCCCTGTGTTTTCTCAAGGATAAATTCCCAGTGTTTTTCAAATGCAAAGAAAAGGAATTTTCCTTCTAGAGACCACYGGTTATACTCTGATTTATCCTCAAAATATCCCTGGCTGAATTTGCTTCTTCTAACTGTAGGTGTGGCAGGAAGTTGTAGCTCTGTCGAGGTTTCATGTCCTGATCTGCTTGTAACCCGTGGAAGTTTTACTGAAAAGCTTGATAATCCAGTCAAAACATACACAGAGAAACACTTCTCTAAGTATGAATTGAAGTGCTGCTGACTTGAGCATCACAATGGGATGTGCCAGCATCCCAGTGCAGGGCTTCCCCAGCAGTGTGAAAGGCAGCAGTTTGAGCAACATTTGAACCCTGAGCAACACAACAAATGCTTTGATGACATTTCTCCTCAGAGCATTTATTTTCATTTAAAAAACATTAGATACCATAAGCCAGACAGTGGATATGGGCTGCTTTCAGTTCTCAATTTACCCTTCTCCAATACTCTTTAGAAATATTTATTTATCTTCAGCAGTTGTCTGATTGTGCCAGGCCAAGCAATGGTGGTAATCCTGGCATTGCTTGCACACTTTTTGCTGCCTCTCCTTGGAAACTTTCCCTTGGTTGGAAGCAATGCTCAAGGTTCTTCTGTCAGCTGAAAGCAAAGGATGAWATTCTCTCCTTCTGAAGATTGTCATAGTCCAGTGGCACAGGTTTACATGGGTTTGAGTCAGACCATRATATTGGTCAAAATCCTGCTGGTTGGGACATGCTTTGTTTACTCTTCTTGTGTTTTGATTTCAGCCATAGCTCCAGAGCAGCAATTTTTTCAAGCAGTGACAGCGTAGGTCACTATGAGCAACCCATCATGTCCACTGAAAACAACTACGTGATGGAGCCCAGGGAAAACAAAACCTGTGAAGAARTAAATCAGAATGTGTCTGACTGTGYGGGGAACCCCCAGGAATCTGTGTATGAAGTAGGGGACACTTCCTGAGAACCAGCAATGCTCTGCAGATACCAGTCCTGAAGAGCACCTTCACTCAGACAAAATACATATCTTTCTTTTCACCTTTTCCTCTGAAAAATAGGTCGGACAAGCAGTGTTTGCTCTTCCTTCACAATCCCTGCAGTGAAAACGCAGACCTCGTCAGCAGCTTCAGTTACAGACTGCTGTATGGAACTTCTGATTTTGTTTTCCTCGATTCCCTCTCACCACCTCTATCCAAGAAAGCCCTTTGAAAGCTGGGACATGCAGGTCCCAGGCTGGGAGCACTGTGCTAAACTTCCTGCTTTATGTGGCCAAAAGGACCAGTGTTTCCAGCCTTTGTGTGGTGGGAGGAGAGCCAGCACTGAGRGCTGCTCAGCATCCCCATCCCAGTGGGTGAGCAGGGCAGGATGTGGCTGGCTTGGGAATTGATGGTTCTCACATTCTCTGTTCTTTCTTTAAATGCATGATTGATATTTGAAAGAAATTAGATACTTTTACGTAAGTTTGAGGCAGGATTGCTTACACATGCCTCRCATATTTTGGTGTGTGTATTTCTGCACAACTGCCTCATTTAGGAATGCCAGCAAGCACTCACAGCTCCTCAGGAGGTACTCAGGAAGTACTTTCCTCCCAGCTTAAAAGGCCTGGAGGGTGAGTTACGAGCAATTTCTACTGCCCTGAGTAAATCTACCATGCAGAGTTATGAAGAGTCTTTTAATAATGAACAGGGCAATTCTGYATCCCATTAAAAGCCATGCAGACAGCTATAAATCAAAGGATGTGACCCAAGAGATGAGTGGGATATTGGTGACACAAACAAAGGATTAGTGGACCCCCAGCTGTCCTGCTCACACTCAGGACAGCTCTGCATCTTCAGGTCTCTGAGCATCAGTTCAAAACTCACCAGAGTGCAAAAGGAGTGTCAGGTGCTAATGGAAAGACATTCCAGTCAAAAAAAACAGGATTGGGCAACCTAGAACTAATGTCATTGACCTGAGAATTCCTGGGAAGGGAAGTGAATTTTCTTCAGAGAGAGCACTTGTACATCATGTTTTTGTTACACAAGCTTTAAGGGGAGATGCTAATTTACATTAATTTCTGTTTCTTTAAGTGGAACAAGGTTGTGTTTTGATGACTGACTGTATGATTATCTGATGTGACACAACTGTGGTGTGAATGKCTGGGAGGGATCACACAATCAGCTTCCGTGGGACATTAAAAAATATTTAGTAAAACTCAGTCTGTTGTGTCAGATCTGTGAGTTAGTGATGTGTGGACCAAATAAGAATGTCTAAAGTTAAAATTGCTTCATTTGAGTGAATATGGTTCAAAAAGAGCACTTGGAGACCTTTATTCTTCAGTTATTTACTTTTTTGGTGATTTGCTCATAGTTGGGTACAGAATTTCACCTTGAACACTAAGGATCTTATTTTATCACAAAAAAAAAAAATGGTAGCAAACTTCTCTGGCCCCTGGCAGAACATGAATGTAAGATGCAGGCTCAGCAGAGCCTCTATGACCAGGGCCTGAGGGATCATCTGTGCTCAGGTTTGGGGACATGGGGGYTTTACTGTGTCACCTCTAGTTAGTCCAAGATGAGTGGCAGAAATTGCAGAATAAAGAGTGCCTAAGCTATGATACTTGAAAAGGTGGGAGGAAGGTGGGTACCTGGGAGACAGGCTACACAGTGTCTCACCCACCACACTGCGTGGGAGAGGGCACCAAGTTCAACCCAGAGAAGGCACACTGGGATAAAATCCTGCATTTTAATAAACCAGCTAGCCAGCCATCATGTCTGAGACATTGAAGGCTTTTTCTTCTCGTGCTCAGATTCAAAACTAGGAGGAGTCCCTTTGGTAAGGAAGAAAGGGGCTGACTGTGTGACTCAGGGAGAAGACAAGCAACTGTGTCTGTGTCCAGGGAGAGAAAGATGTCATGTACATCACATTTGTGGAACTGCAGTTCTTCATGTCTGCTCTGGTTAAATAGTAATTTTTTTTTTATCCTGTATAATTAGAATCTGAGGAAGTTTTGCATGTCCGGTTCAAAAAATAATCCCATCAGCAGTTTTAGCTTGGGTTTTCAGCTTGTTCCAGGGTATGTTCCCTAAAACCCAGATTCTTTTGAACACTTTTATGTAGGAGACTGTTTGTCTGGGATGAGGTTCTACTGTCACTCATGGACCAGGGTGTGTAAAAGGTTGGGTTTTAACCATCTCTATGAAAATGGACACATTTCCCTCTTTGAGTGACATAGCTTGAAATTTTACCAAGGGTTTTTTCTTTATTTGCTTGCTTTTAGGCAGGYCTCAAACATTGCTAAAGGCTTCTCRGGGGCAGCATGSGCAGATGGATACAGGCCATGTGCTCTGACACCCMACTAGTAGCTGTAGCAAAGATGTCAAGAAGAAAAGTCAGCAAAAATCAARTTTCAATGCCTTACACAGACACTTTGCAACAATGGGTGCTGCTGCCCCCATCATCTTCCTCAGCAGCATGGTGGGTGTGGCTCTCAGCCTGGAGCCCTGGATGAATTTGTTGCTCCGGGTCTTGCAACACAACATTTAGCTTTCTGCTCCTGGCAAGTTCCACCATAGCAATCAGCACGACTCAGCTGCAGTCACAGCCAGCAGAGACCCCACGGGTGGGCATGCCTCTGCCTGGGGCTGAAATGAGATCCACACGGCTCTCATCAGCTCACTAACTTTGGGAAAATGAAGATAATTTCGAGTTCTCATGACTCTGGCAGACAGGCAGTAAGCTGTCACTGACATAGAGATGGCTTTTCCAGAGATGGGTTCAGCTGCAAGGTGGATGGTTCAGCCCAAGCAGACAGGTACCTGCTGTGATGGGTTGAGGCTGTGGCAAAACCACCCCATTTCCCTTTCTGTCCCAGCTCCCTGTCCTTCAGACACATCTGCCTCCTGCTCAAAGATACTGTTTTCCTGATGCTGCTGTTAGAACCACATGTTAAGGCATGATTATTGAATAAATRCCAAAAAGCTGCTCTACTGACTCATTAAATGCCTGTAACAGAATTCACTTAGTCAGTAAGTTTGTTTTTATACACRTTTCTTATCTTTCTGTGAGTCTTCCTACTTTTGATAATAGTAAGCACAGATCGATTTGGTACATCACACCTAGATAACTCTTAGAAGTATTTTTAAAGGTACCCTACACAGCACACTCAAAATGTCCYGTGACAGTCATAAGTCACCTCCTTGGCAAACACAGCATGTGCTTTCAGAGCATGAAACATGAATACTTTTGCCCATGATCTTGACCATTGATGCAGAAATGTCTGCTGAGAGAGTCTGTGATGCTCAGCATGACCTGACAATGGGCATTTGCAGCTCAAAAAGCCAGTTGGGTYCTGGGCTGTATCAAGAGAAGTGGATGGGGRCAGGGAATGGGACTGGAAAGATCCATACAGCCTTTCTCCTGCCTTCACCCTTCACCTAACTCAGCAGAGAAATGGACTCGTGATGTTTCAGAAAGAGGATCCTAGATGACAAMGACAGAATAAAAGGAAGTGTTCTTCACTTGCAGTTTGATCCCAGAAGGTTGGGGGTCTCTTGGGGGAAGGAGGACAGACCTGCAGTTCTGGGACAATGGGAGAAGTTGGGCGGACAGTGGTGTTCATGATGACTTTCATCAGCTGCAACGGTGAGTAAATGCTTCAATGTAAAGGAACAGATATACAGAATCAGAGTWCTTAGAGGGTAGGGAAAATCTTTTGAATTATAGCATCTTTTAATGGACCAGTGCAGCAAGTCTTTAGCTTATTGTATTAACCATAGAGCTTGAGAATTCACRAGAGTCTCTTTTGGCATCAGATACAAGGAGATGATTTCAAGAGTGCAGCAAACGGGCAGTACTGGGCAAGTCAGCTTCCCYGCACCAAGGCAAGAACAGAATATGGGGTTTTGGGACCCTTGGCAAGGACCCAAGCTGGTGTGCCAGCTCTCAAAACAGTCTCAGCGGAGCTGGAATATGCATTCTACTAGAATTTAATTACTTATCCTCATGGATCTGTTAGCATGGCCCTGGGAAGAAGAGGAGCTGTAATTTTGAGATCCGATGCTGGCACATTTGGTTCCCCTTGGTCTCTCCTATCCAGTGACTCTCTGGTTGCATCAGGAAAGCTGAGATTGGAACCTTGTCTTTGTTTCCTATGCCATGACTGAATACAGCCCTTCTCAGGCCATGTATGACACTGGCAGCAGCAGAGGAAAGTTTTGGGAAATAGGAGAAAAGTTCTCTTACAAGTTGTACACAGAAGGACAGCAGCATTGCTTTTGRCATTTAGAAAAATGGGTTGAAATATATTCCCATTTCATCATAAAAAAACAGCTCAGTTTCAGAGGTTTCTGGGATTTGCCTCTCAAGCAACCTCTTGTGAATTAAAGCTGTTGAATATAACCAGTGTCTTTCTGGGGAGGGGAAAGGGGAGAAGAATAAGGAGTATGGGGAGAGGWGAGCCAAGTCAAATGAAATTCAGGTGATTTGCTACTTACAAGAGGTACTTCCCAGAGGAGCTGTGGGATCCATGGGCACACCGATGGACAAACTGGAAGAATGAGTGGAGAAAATATGCCCACTCTTCTCCTGAATGCTCGGCAGGGTGCTGACCTCGGTCAGGTGTGAAGTTTTCCAAGGCTAAAGCAAAAGGATTGGCTTTGGTCCACCATTCCTGTTTCAGGTCCATACTGCAGGGAATATCCAAAACACTCCTGCCCACAAAGAGCCTCTCCGTACCGAGAAAGAATTAAGAATTGGCAAGTTCCCAGAGAGACACACAATAAAAATAGACATGAGGTCAAGGCAGCTGTTCACTTCCCCATGCTTGATGATGTGGGCTGGCTTAGTGGCTGTGGTCTACAGCACATCTGAGACATGGCCGCACACTGGCGTCTACTGCCCAGTGAGCCCTGTCTATCCAGAGATTTCCCTCTTCTGCTGTATTCTCATTCCTTCCTTTCCACTGCTGTTCCCTGCAGCCTTCCTGGATCTATCTGGTGTCCACGAGATCACAGGCACATGGATGGGATCCACCACTTTACCATGTACCTATGTGCCTCCAGAAGGTTWCACAGTGCAAACGCTTAGCTGGAGTGTGGAGCGAGAGTACAGCACYGCCACCATCTTCCGGAGGGATGGTTCTGGTGACCACATCTTGCTGTCTAAATACCAAGGCCGAGTCAGTGTCCCAAAGCACAGCCCAGGGGATGCCTCACTCCTAATTGAGAACCTTGAAATGCCTGACAGTGGACACTACACCTGCAAAGTTATCTGGAGGTCTAYAGATAACAGCTTGATAACAAGCGAGATGACCACTACAGTTAAAGTTGTCAAAGGTAAATCCAGCAACAAAGCCCTGCTCTTGTGTAGCCCAGTTAAACCAAGAGCAGGTAGGAGAGTGGAGGGTCCATCCCCACGATATGCAGGGCTCTGTGACCTGGGCTCCTGTGCTCTGTGTTGCAGTGGCAGCCACCAAGCCCATCATCAGAGGCGGAGAGCGGGGGCTGACGCTGCCGGCCGGAGCCAGCACCAGCCTGAGCTGCGAGGCCAGCGGGTCCCCTCCCATCAGCTACCGCTGGTTCCGGGGCTCCCCGGCGGGGAAAGCCGCGCTCCTGAGCAGCGGGGCTGAGCTGGCGTGGCACAGCCTGCGCCTCTCCGACAGCGGCACGTACTTCTGCGAGGCACACAACAGGATTGGCAACGGAGCCGTGCAGCGCAGCGATGCTGTGCAGCTGACGGTGACAGGTGAGTGCCCTCGGCCACAGCTGCCCACACAACACGCTGCTGCAGGGCAAAGGAACAGCATCCCACTGCCCTGCCCGCAAAGAAGGAAATGCCAAACGCCTTCAGCACTCTGACAC